ATTGTTGTAAGACAAGCCTTGACACAATAGACTCTGGCATAACGTCTGGCCGTAAAGACGCTTCAAGATTCATCAAAACATCATGAATTGATGTAAGACAAGCCTTGACACAATAAACTCGGTATACCGTCCGATTGAATTCAATCAATCATATTGGTTCTTTATGTCGGTTGATTCATTTTAAACTCAATTTTATTAGCCTATTTTATATTACCTTCCCATTTTCTTTAATCCATTAAGTCCACGGTGATATTTACATCCACTAAGTTTGAAATACAATAAAGGAAACAAGTGTCGACTTAATCTGAGAAAATAAACCTTATTTTCTTCAAGGGAAATTGTAACGCCCCACTACTTGCTGGCCCAAATAACTTGTGGGTTGACCAACAATACCCAAAAGCTTAAGTCCAAGTTATTTAGTAGCAAGGTAGTGGTGCTATATATGCCCAAGATCATCCATGCAAACTTTCGATGTGGGACAGGGTGTTACAAACTCCCCCACTTATAAATCCTCGCGTCCTCGCGAGGGTCTATAATCAATCAGAATACCACGACAAGCTCGTGGCCAGCCCAGAATAAGTGGCCCACATGGTTGTGTGCATGGGTCGACTCTGATACCATTTGTAACGCCCCACTACTTGCTGGCCCAAATAACTTGTGGGTTGACCAACAATACCCAAAAGCTTAAGTCCAAGTTATTTAGTAGCAAGGTAGTGGTGCTATATATGCCCAAGATCACCCATGCAAACTTTCGATGTGGGACAGGGTGTTACAGAAATTGCAAAGGAAGAGTCAAACTTATTTACAAGTTAGGGATTTCAAGTCAAACCCAATATGCGCAACAAGGACTAGTCAAACTCAAAAGAGTGATAATAACTTAGAAAAACCCAAAGTGAGCGATAATGACTTGAAATCCAAGAGGTAAGCACACTGGTGATAAAAAGAAATAAAAAATAAAAGATTGGCTTTAGTATAAGAAGGATGTATGCCTTTGGTAATGAACCTTCGAAGAGATTAAACCATTAAGTATGAAAAAAGTTTTATGCCTTTTGTAATGAACCTCAGAAGAGATTAAACCATTAAGTATGGAAAAATTTCTTTCTTATACTTGAATAACAACCTTAATTTTTCACAACTTTTTTAATCAAAATAATCATAGAATGGAAGGAGGTTGCAGAGATGATTATGAAAAGTTGATTAATTGGTTATTATAAAAAAAAACATAATATGTAAAACAAAATTATTAAAATAGATTAAACCGCCCCTAAATAACATAAAATAGTGCTGAAATTAAGCTATAGAAGGTGCACAATCATAAAGAGATTAAAGCGAGTAAAAAAGTATAAGGAAGGGTGGCTAACCCCTCCATTTGTACAACTTCAAATTACATAGTTTAGATGTTGAAAAACAGCCCCAAAACAGCCCCAAATCAGTGGCAAAAGTTGGCGAAAAGAAGTGGGACACACAAGGATTTAAGCTAGGAGTGCGGTTCAAGCAAAGGGGATTAACCCTTCCACCTTTGGGTAGCTTTCAATCACAAGTTTCAGCCCTCAAAACAGTCCAAAAATAATATGAAAACACAAGGAAAAGATGAACAAAGATTGAAATAAAAGCAAGAAAGCTTTACCTCTTATAGAGTAGGTGTTCTTGTTGTAAACCAAACTTGATTCCAAAGCACCCTCAAGTTTGAGTTATGATTTTCAATCCTCAAATCAAGTTCCAAGTTCAAGCTCTTGTATGGTATATAGGGATGATATAAGAGCTTCAAGGCTTATGGAAGAACAAGAAGGATGATAGCTTTGATCTTTTCTAACTTTTGATATTTCTAACTCACTTGATATTTATTTGATCTCTCTAACCAAATTCTATATATGTTTTTCAACCTCCTTACAGCAGTTTGAACCCTGCTATTTATAGGCCCCGAGCAAGTTTGATCAAAATATCTGCAGAATTGGGCAGCTGGTAGAACACTGCTGATACTGCCTGAAAAGTCAAGAGGTCCGACCGGACCTTGGTGTCTCCGGCTGGATGTCACTGAGGTCTGGCCGGACTTCAATGTATTTCCATTATTTCTTACTTTTAGGTTCAATACAGGTTATTATATGGTGCAATACTGAAAGTCTGGGGTAGAAATACAATGGGTATAGCAGGTTGGAATTGTTTAGAGCTTGAACTCGGATTCCTTTATTGAGAATTCAAACCACTGACTCAATGTAATCGTCATCATCGAGTGCTCGGAATAAAGCACCTAAGTCTTATGAGTGATCAAAATTGGGGTGTCTACAGTTGTCCCTCTTTCACAGAGCTCGAAGTCATTTCGCGACGTGAGTGAATGTTAAAGCCTGAAGATGACCCATTTGATAAGATTGTAAGACTTTGGAAAAAACAAACAAATGCACACACAATTGGTAGAACCCAAGGGTTACCTACGTATCCCATTGCAAGGAATCAAACCTGCGTAGTTCAGGGGCAAGATGCAAAATGATATGTAAAACATAACTTATGATCATGCGATGAAATGCAATACATAACTTATGATCATGCAATGAAATGCAATCAAGACAATGATGTGACACTGAACGAAAGCATAAACCAGAGCAAAACAAATCCAACCGTGTTTCTCACGGAATAGTGAAATTTGAAATCCAATCGCTCCATTCGCGAGAGGAGGAATATTTGAAATTCAATCGCTCCGTTCGCGAGAGGAGGAATATTTGAAGTCCAATCGCTCCGTTCGCAAGAGGAGGAATATTTGAAGTCCAATCGCGTCTTTTCGCGAGAGGAGAAATAGTGAAATTCAATCGCTCCATTCGCAAGAAGAGAAATAGTGAAATCCAATCGCTCTGTTCGCAAGAGGAGGAATAGTGAAATCCAAACGCGTCTTTTTGTGAGAGGAGGAATAGTGAAGTCCAAACGCGTCTTTTCGCGAGAGGAGGAATACTGAAATTGAACTTGAGATGCACAAAACAGTGCGATGTGAGAAATTGGGGTGCACAAGACAGTGCGATGTGAGAAATTGCACAGTCATACCTAGTCGTAGTTCATACGAAGAGGACGAAGGTTTTAACCACATGATCTCTTAAATGTGAAGTCCAAACGCGTCTTATGCGAATGGAAGAAGGTATGGTAGAATGATTTCTTTGTTTTTGTTTGATTTGATTGATTAATGAATTTTTTTTCCTTTTATTTTCTCTTTTTTTGTTTTTTGTTTTATTATTTTTTATTCCTATTTTTCTTTTATTTTTTTCTATTATTAATTTTTTTTCTGTTTTTTATATTTTTTTATATTTTTTGTATATATTTTGTACAAATGTGATCAATAAAACAAGTTTTTATTTTTATTTTTATGCAACTCCGAATAACAAATCCGAATAATGGACATAAAATAGACACTTTTTATGCAACTCCGAATTCCGAATAAGAAATCCGAATAATGAACATAAATGGACACAAAACTTGATAAATAGACCCTAAACTAGACACAAAATGGACCCAAACAGAGCAACATGTACATGACAGAATACCAACTTTATGGATTATTGGAACAAAATAAAGTAAACAAAATTCTTTCTCTTATTTATTTACTTATTTATTTAGTATTATTATTATCATTATTTATTACTATTATTATTCAACTCCAAATAAAACAAACTGATTACACATATATATATATCTTATAGTATTTATTTATTTATATACCCAAAATAAAATAAAAACACATTTTATATGAATAAAAGAAAATAACCGCCTTCTTTTTTTTTTTTTAAATTTTTTTTTATAGTATATATGTTTACTCAAAATGAAATAAAACTATACAACAAAAGGATTTGATTTTCCCCCCCTTTATTTTTTTTTTCTTTTTGTAAAACAATAATTAATAAAACGACACAAGCAAAATGATTTGATTTGATGATTATTATTTTTTTTATTTATTATTTTTTTTTCTCAAAGCAAAAACCTATTATTTATTATTATTATTTTGTTTTTTTTTTTTAAAAAAAAATTCGGCCGGATATACGGACATTCGACCAGACTTCGATGGCGGCAGGGGCAGATTCGTGAAGCCCTCGACTTTTCTTGTTTTAAAACAAAACAAACCCTTCGTTTCCTCACACCTTCATATCCGAAAATCATCCCTCTCTCTCTCTGGCATCCCCCTCTCTCTAGATTTCTCATTTTTTTCGCAAACCAAACAACCCTCGCCATTTTTTCTTCAAAACCTCCTCTACCTTTTGAACCGATTGGAATTTGCTTTGGTGGAGTTTGGGTTTTTCTCTTTGTTTTTCTCACTTTTACCCACATTTCCTCTTTTCCTCCCTTTGATTTTTCATCCTCTCTATATTTCTCTCTCTTAGGGTTTGAGATTTTGGGATTTTTACCCATTTTCACTTAGTTCCCCATTTTTTCTTCATTCTTCCCTTCCTTTCCTCATGGCTAGTGACGAGGTTCCAATTCCATATCCGATCATAGATATTGGCGCCGTCCTTGGTGCAGATATGGAGGCCGAGGATGCTTTCGCTTTGCTTCCCCTTGCGGATAGGCCATTTGATGCGACCACTTACCAGCCACGCACTCACATTATCCCATCAAGTGGGATTTTACGATTTGTGGGCTTCATTCCTGGGCTGGAGGAGGACACACTTTTGCGCGAGCCCACGAAGCACCTATCCGCCGACGCCTCCACGGTAAGCAACTTTCCTTTGTTTTGTACATATGTTTGAAACTTATGAACAAACCATTTATCTTTGTTGTACATACATTGATACATTCCCCATTTACAGGTTGTAGCCAGGACAATTATTGGCTATGGGACCATATCGGGTCCTCGACGCTGGTATGAACGGCTTCTCGCCGAGGTTCGCACAGTAGTCGATGCTGCTGGCTTTGGGCCTTTTTGTTCCGGGCTCATCCAGATGCGGGCTGAGTCAGTGCTATATGGAGCTTTAGCGGAGAGGTAGTGGGACACCACAGACTAGTTCCACTTCTCTTCGACCAGGGAGATGACGTTGACGCCATGTGACTTTTCCATGCTGACTGGCCTACGAGTCAGAGTTGGTGGCCCTATCCCATTTGACCTAGATATGGCGCAGTGGAGAGCTGCACAACTCCAGCTTCTTGGAGCGATCCCAGACATCAACAGGCAGGGGATGGTGCGCTACAGCTGGTTCTACGATCACTTTATTGACATTCAGCCAGCTACTGTAGATGAGATTGCCCAGTACGCTCGTGGCTTCCTTATGTATCTTCTCAGTACTACCCTGTTTGCGAACAGGGAGAATACTGTGGGGATATATCTTCTTGGAGCACTGGTGCATCTACCGCGGCTGGCAGAGTATGATTGGGGTGGCGCCAGCTTGGCCACCTTGTACTGCTGCATGAGCTCCGTGTCCTGCCGCAAGACGGATTTATTCGATGGCTACTGGAGAGTTTGGGAGGTACGCGTCTCACCCTTTTACTTTTCTATTCAACTTTGCATTCTGTGCTTTGCATTTCCTGTTCATCTTTACTCTGCATTTTATATCTGCTCATCTGCTTTATTCATGCTCATCTGTTTACAGCTCTAGGTTTACACATATTTCACCACTCTAGCTCCGGTCCTAGTGAGGCCGATTGAGTTATCAGTACCCCGTTCTCGGTACTACAACTCACGGTTCAGACGCCGCCACCTAGTAGACCGGACCTACCTATACTTCCGCCGCTTCTTTGATACGATCACTGCGGACCAGGTAACACAATATCATTTTTTTCATTACATATCACTATTCCCATATTGTACTAGCATCCTCATACTGTTGACATCTGCCACTGCACTGTTTTGCTCATTATACACTGATTTGTTGACACTGCACTGATTTCTGACACTGAATGATATCTGACACTACACTGTCGCTGCACTGATAACTAACATTACACTGACATCTGACACTGTATGGATTCATAGGTTGATTGGCATCCCTGGGCGGGTATCTCCCCAGCGTCCAGAGCGACTTATGCTGCTACTTGGTATGCCTCTACCATGCGGATTCTGTTCGAGGGCCCCTTTGGTCGGGCCTATTATTTGGGAGAGAGGTTCATTCGCCAGACCCGAGGCGTTGCCCACTCAGACGTTTCGCATCCTCCTCCTCCAGGCATGAAGACAGTTGATGAGATACATGATTGACCTATGATCAACCTCTTGATGGAGGGAGAGGATGACGATAAATATCATATGGCTGGCGACTTCACTACCTTCTTGCACACTCGGGTGATGGCGCTTCTCACCCCGGGCGTGGACCATGCTGTTCCGGAGGTCGTGGCTATTGCAGCTGGTGCTGGGGATGCCCCTGCTAAAGGTGCCCCTGCCGTTGCTCCTATTCCTGGGTTTCTTGTGATTCCCACGGAGGTTACATACATGCGCCCAAATGGGGTGCCCAAGCAGATTCTGATTGATGAGATCAAGGAGAGGGACCGCCGGATAGTTTTTTCTCCAAGCATCGAGTAGGTACACATTTCCTTATTGTTTCCACTCACTGTATGTCATCTTGTTTTATTGCTTCTGTTTATGGCTATATTTCTTAAACTTCGCTCTTTCTTTTGCAGGTATCCCGGGTATTTGCAGATGACCTTGCTCGGACAATCGATCGGCTACTCCTCATGGTGCGACGGAGTCAAACTAATCTAGCTGCTCACGGGCATCAGGTAAGCTTTGCCCCTAGTTTACAGTCATTTCATTTCGACTCTGTTTGTCATTTTATAACTATCTGCACTATCCTTTCCTTTCTTCTTTTAAGCTTGGACCAGCACCGGTGGCACTTGCAGGACCTCCTTTAGCTAGGAGACAAAGGCAGGGCCCAGTGAAGGGCAGAGGAGGAGTTGATCGAGGGAGAGGCCGAGTGAGGCAACGCTTACCTTCTGAGGAGTCCTTTGAGGGCTCTCCGACCCCTGAGGAGGAGGGAGAGGAGTTTGACGTACAGTCTGTGAGTGCCAGCGATGATAGCAATGCATCTCCTGTGTAATTGAGGAGGAGGAGAGCTAGGACAGACTATTGACGACGATGATGACTTTCTCTCTTTTATTTTGCTTTTGTTTGCTTTTGTTGTTTTTATTTATTTATTTATTTCTCTTTTATTATTTCCTCCCTTTTTTTTATTATTTATAATTTCTATGTCTTTGCTTTGTAGTTTTGAACACTAGCTTCAGGTAGACTCATTATTTTTGAAAACCTTTCTTTTGTTTTATGTTTTATTTTGTAAAACAATGATCGGTGTTGGACCCACCAGTTTATAAAAACAAGTTTTTTGGGGATGATCTTTTCTTGCGAATTTCTTGTATTGTGTTTGCATAGGATGAATGGACAACAATTTGCATGATAATCTTCCCGATACTTGTGCTTGATTCATGAATCAGATAACAACTTTCAACTGGACAAAATGTACAAGACAACTCGATAACAAGAAAACATAATGGAAACAACTCAAAACCATTACAACAGACTTAGTATAAGCAAAACAAGACTCAAAATACATCCACAACACAAGAGGACAAAGAGCTGCATTGTCTGGCCCACCATTGAGGTACGACTGGACCTCAGTAGGCATGGCCGAACCCCACTGAGGTACGGCCGGACCATTACAAGAAGCTTTGGTAGGTATCCAAATATCACCCACTACTCCATACAAAATTCTATAAGTGGTGTTCCCATACTATTGTTTTTGGCAGAAGAGCAAGTCTTTTACATTTTGCTCTCAAAATGGAGATGTTGCTCATCCATAGGCTCTAAGACTGGATAACCACTTTGGATGGTTCGAAAAAGGTGAACTTTTGTAGTTTCGTCCTAAACGCTCTTTTTCCATTGGGCCGCACTTCACTTTGTTTTCCATTTCTCCATGCCACTGCTCAGTACTAGAATCCAATCACGCATGTATTCCGCTTTGGTTCACAAGAGATGTGTTCGACACTTGAAGAATTTCAAGCATTGATGGAATCTCAACGTAATAAGGAAATCATGCTTCAACCCCGTTTTGGTCATGCTTAAGCTTTAGGACAGATGTGTGGTCTTACTTTGCACGAGGCTCGATCCTTGGCTCACAATGGGGAATTAGACATTCCGGATTTGATTTGTCGATTTTCCCCTACGGGTGATAAAGAAAACCTCCTTTGGCGGGGTTATCATCAGCATGCTCTCTGCTTATGCTTACTTGCACACTTCCTTCTTGCCCCTAGTCACGGTGGAGCTAGTATTAAATTGATTGAAGTAGCCCAATACCTTAAGGAGGGTAAGAGTTGTATGGGCTTAGTGTTGGTCGAGACTTTGACAGGTTTAGATGCTTTTCATCAACTAGAGACTACTCGATTTGCGGGGAGTCCATTACTTCTCTAAGTATTATTTCCTACCCTTCTTATTTATGTTCCTCACATCACTTGGCACACAATCTCTGTTTTTCTCTCGAAATCCTTTTCTTATTTTTCCCTCAATGTACATCTCTCTATTCTTTTGTTCTCTCTTATTTTCCTTCTCTCCCCAGATATGGCTAATGGATAAGCTGAAAGTAATAGACCCCTGCCCCGAGTACTCGGCCAGAACTTACTCTCTTCGTCCACAGCTAGTGGAGTTCTCCTCAGAGGGAATGTGGTATGACTGGATACGCAGCAGGTCCGCGGTTGACATTGCTTGGTGTGGCCCCTAGCTTAGTTTGGCTAAGATGAGTTACAACATGTTCCGGAAACCAGGCATACAGTCGATTGGCCTTATACACTGTGTGTTCTATTTTCCATTCAGGCTCAGACGCCAATTTCGACATGATTAGACTTGTCCAGATAAAGGGATAAAGTACCCAGCATCATTTCCTATTCGTAGTTCGTACTTGCCTCGATACCTCACTGCTTGGAGCACAAGAGAATTTCTAACTCCGGCCCTGAATTTCAGTTGCATCCTTCCTAGCGAGTACTTAGTTTGGCTCGAGGACGAGGAACAAGTTAGGTCGACTTTAATTACAAAGACTTCCACGGGTACGAGAAAGAGACAGAGAATTGACATTTGACTCATCTATGCCCCTAGTTTATTGTCTTTTCTTTTCAAGTGTGTGTTTTTTTTTTTTTTTTAATGTAAAAGCAACTTTGTTTTGGAGAATGTACCTGTGTTAAAATCAATAAAATTAAAGTGAGTATTGAAAAGTTTCCTTTTGTGTTATAAAAAGTAAAATTGTGAGAAACTTTTCAAACCCATTTTCGGAAATAGTCACCACCGGATACACACAGAATCAATCCTAAACTGTACAACCCCAAATCGAAAAATCATAACTGCCCCTCAAATTGCATTGATCATTATTGCTTCATCTTGTGATTGACCTTTCTGCCCGAATGGAAGCAACACAACTAAGCTGACAAACGATGAAAAATGATGGATTGATTAAACCAAATGAACAGGACAGTTGAGTTGAAAATGGTTATGGCCGAACTTCACGAGGAAGTTGCCTATGTATCCCAAAGATGAGAATCAGGCCTTATGTAGTTCGGTAAGGGTTCACTCGAGTATTTATTCTCTCATTTTGTGCTCTAATTTTTGATAAGGTTGCCCTTTCGGGTTTTCAGCCTTGCGAGTTCAATTTTTCTTTATCTCTAATTTTTCATGCTCTAACTTTTGCCTAGGTCACCCTTTCAGGTTTTCGGCCTAGCGAGGCTCTCTGGGATAATATTTTTTCAACTTGTCCATGTTGATTGGTTGTGAAAACTCCAGACCATCCAAATCCATAAGAATAATTGCTCCTCCGGACCATATTGACTTGATGATAAGGGCCAGTCTAATTGGGTTTGAACTTGCCCCTAGGGTCATGGATGGGGCTTGGTTATCTTTGAGTACCATGTCTCCTTCCTTGAGATTTCTGGACTTGACTTTCTTGTTAAAAGCCCAAGTAATTCTACGCTGGTAGCCTTGGATGTGATACAATGCCTTCAACCTTCTTTCGTCGAACAACATCAATTCTTTAAATCTGCTTTGTTGCCAATCTACCTTTGCTATCTGACATTCGGCCATAATTCTTAGTGACGATATTTCAATCTCGATTGGCAGAATAGTTTCCATCCCATAGACTAGAGAATAGGGGGTTGCCCCTGTAGATGTTCGGATTGACGTCCTATAGCCCTAGAGTGCAAATGGCAAATTCTCCAACCAGTCTTTGTAGGTTTCCACTATCTTTTGTAGGATTCTCTTGATATTTTTGTTTGCAGCCTCAACGGCTCCATTGGTCTGCGGTCTATATGTTGATGACTTACAAAAAGTAACGTTATATTTCTCAAGCAGGTCTATCACCTCTTTCTTGAAATCTGAGCCGTTATCTGAGATGGTCTCGTTGGGCACCCTGTACCTACAAATGATGTTGTTTTTGATGAACTTGGCTACATGCGATGCTTTTAGCACAGAATAGGACTGGGCCTCCACCCACTTTGTGAAGTAGTCGATTGCTACTAAAATGAACTCGTGCCCATTTGACCCCTTTGGCGTGACTTCACCGATAACGTTGATTCCCCAAACTGAGAAAGGCCATGGCGAAGTCATATTGTAGAGCTTCAACAGCGGAATGTTCACGCGATTAGCATGGATCTGACATTTGTGGCATCGTCGTATAAAGCCAATACAGTCCTCTTCCATGGTTGACCAGTAGTAGCCTTGTCTAAGGATTTTTCGAGCTAGCATTACACCATTTATGTAAGCTCCGCACTCTCTTCCGTGAATAGCTTTCATAAGGTGCCTTGATTCTTCTTCGTCAACACACAACTTATGCATTCCCAAATGGCCTTTTTTGTAAAACTTGTTTCCGCAGATGATAAATTGGATGGCTAGCCGCTGTATTCCCCGTTTGTCCTTGGCATTTGCCCCTGGTGGATACACCTCTTTTTTCAAGAAATTCCAAATGTCGTAATACCAGGGGTTTGTATCTTGAACCTCATTTATCGCGGCAATGGTCTCATAAGCCGGCGTATACTTCTGTTCAATAATAATCAGACACATCTTTACTTCAAGCGGGATGTCCACCATGGAAGATAGAGTTGCCAAAGCGTCAACAAACCGATTGTTCTCTTTTAGTAGATGTGTGAATGTTAATTTTTCAAACCTCGGAATTAGCACATCCAGGGCCTGATGATAAACCTTAATTTTCTCTTCTTTAACCCGCCAATCTCCAT